AAGCGAGCGCTTTATTTTTCAATTTTTTTTTTTTTTTTTTTCCTTTTTGTTTTTCAATCTTCGGCTTTTTTATTTTTCAACTTTTGGCTTTTTGTTCTCCCGTTTGCTGCTTTTGATTGTAACGTTTTCCCACTTTTCCGTTTCCCCCCTTTTTCCCCTTCCATTTTGCCCTTTTTACTTTCCCATTCCCCCCCGTTTTATTTTCCCACTCCCCCCCCGTTTTTCTTTCCCATTTTCCCTTCCTCCTTTCCCATTTTTTCCCCTCGTTTACTTTTCCGTTTTTCCCTCCCCCCTTCCCCCCCCCTCCCCCCCCCCCCCCGCTTTTCTATTTATCCCTTTCTATTTCCATCTTCCACTTTTTTTTTTTTTTCCTCTGGCATTTTTATTATTATCATTTTGCAAGTCGGACCCTTTTTATTTCCTCCTCGCCCCCCCCCCTCCGCTCGGGGCCGCCCCCCCTTGCTCCCTTGCCCCCCCCCGGGCCCCGCAGAGCTTCGCCGGAGAGAAAGAACGCGCGGACTGCTCCAGCCTCCGAAATGACTCAGTAACTTTTACGCCTCGAGTCTCAGCTCTGCAATTAGCCACTTTCCCAGCGCCGCTCGGGATGTATTCGTCTCCTCTCTGCCTGACCCAGGTAACCCCCCCCCCTCCTTTATTCCTTACCTCCCCCCCCCCCCCTCCAACACCCCACCCCAGAATCTAAAAGAGCTTTTATTCCTCACTTGCCGATGCAAAAAAAAAATATATATATATATAGATATCGGATAATATTAAAATAATCATTTCTCTCTTCCACCCCCCCCCTCCCCACCCCCCCCCCCGTGATAAAAATAATAACAGCCGTAGGGCGGGTTGTGCCGAGCGGTGCACGGAGAACCGCGTTTTGCTGTCGCTTTCTGACCCCCCCCCCCCCCCCCCAGCACTGCTTGTTTTGGGGTTTTTTAGGGTGTTTCGGGGGTTTTGCTGCCTCTGCTCCGCTCGGTGCTCCGGGGGGGGGGGGGGGGGGGTCATGGTTGCGCTGCGGTTTTGTTGTGCTGTGCGTGGAGGCGTTGGGGACGCCGTCGGGGTTTGGGGTTTTGGGGGGGGGACGCTGTGAGGTGGTGCAGGGAGGGTGGGGGGCAGCGGGATCGCTGTGCTGGGAAAGTTTTTTTCCTTTCACCCCCCCCCCCCCCCTCCCCGCTTCACTGTGTGCAGCGTGGCCGCACATGTTCACGGGGCAGAAGGAAGGGGGGGCATAGGGAAGAGCAGGGGGTACGGAGAGCTATGGAGGGGCACAGGGAAATGAAGGGGGCACAGGGACGTGTGGGGTGCAGAAGGAAATTGGGGAAGGGGGGGGGGGGACACACAAGGCGACGTGGGGGGTCACAAAGCGCTCCGAGTTTCGGGCTGGCCGCGCCGTGCCGTCAGGTTGCGCGGGGGGGATCTGGGGGTCCCCGCTGTGTCCCAGCCCCCAGGTTTGGGGTCACCCCGTGTGTCTGGTGGTGGCCGTGGCCGCACACAGGGGCACCAGTGGCAGCTCGGGTGCCGCCGACGTGGCCCGCTTGAGGGGCGGCCATGGCGAGGCCTGGCGAGCTGCAAGGGGAGGGGGGCTCCCCAAAATGAACCCCCCTCCAACCTTCATATCGGGCCTGGGGGGGGGGGGAAGGGGGGGGGGAAGCGGCCGCCATGCCGCCTTTGCTCCGTCCTTATTTATTTAATGCTATTTATTTAATTGCCAAGCTGCTGTAACCTCTTCCCTGCTGGCGGCCACCCGCGGCTCCGGCCTTGTGCCACGCTCCCACCCGCCGGCCTTCGGGCTTCGCTGAGGCCTTTGGGGTTTTGGTTGGTGTTTTTTTTTTTTGGGGGGGGGGGGGGCTGTTTTTTTGGGGGGGGGCCCTTTTGGGGTTCATTGTCAGCTGGGTGTTTTTTAGAGGGGTGTTTTTATGGGGTGGTGCAGCTGGCAGCACCCCCTGCCCACGCTTTGGGGTCGCAGCCCCGCATCGGGCCTGGCGGGCCCAGCTGGGCGCCGTGGGGTCGAGCAGGAGCGGGCCTCACTGCCAGGCCTTACGGGGGCCTGGGGGCGCAGTGTGGTCCTCAAGGAGGGCCCCCCGAGCCCTGCGCCCCTCATAGGTGGGGGAGTGGGAAGGAGCCCCCCAGGCTGGGCATCACTGCGGGCCGTGCCATGGCGGGGAGAGGCTGCGGGGCTGGCATGGCACGGGAACGGCACAGCATGGTGTGGGCACGGCATGGAGGTGGGTATGGCACGGCGTGGACGTAGTATGGCATGATATGGCACAGTGTGGACGTGGTATGGCACAGTATGGATGTGATATGGACGTGATATGGCACGATATGGACGTGATATGGCACGATATGGACGTGATATGGCACGATATGGACGTGGTCCGGCACGGCTGGGCTGCACGGTTGACCCCGCTGTCGGCGCTCCAGGCTGCACTTGGCGCAGCTCACACCTCAAGCCGCCTTTTTTCTTCCCTCTCTTCCTATTCTGATTGTTTTCTTTTCTTCTGGCCTTTTTAAAAAAAAAAATACATTTTTTTTTTAATATTTTGTTGTTATTTTCTTTCTCCTTTCTTTTCTGTTCTTTTTCCTGTTCTGCATTCTCTTCATTTTCCTTTCCCTCTTATTCTCATCCCTCCCTTTATTTTATCTTCTCCTTTTTTCTTTTTTTTTTCTCTTCTCCCTCTTTTTTCTATTTTCTTTTTTCTCTTTTCCCTTTTTTCTTTATTTTCTCATTTTTCCCTCTTTATTTTCTTTTCCTTCTTTTCCCTCCTTTTTTTTTTTTTTTAACTTTCTCTTTTATCATTTCCCTTTTTTTAGTTTTCTTTTCCCTTTATTTTCTTTTCCCTCCCTTTTGTCTTTCCTTTTTTTTCTTCTCTCTTTTTCTCTTCATTTCCTTAATTACCTTCTCTCTTTTCTACATCTTCTCTTTTTTCTTTTCTCCCCCCCCCCTTTTTTTTCTTTTCTTTTCCTTTTCTCTTTTTTTATTTTTTTTTTCACATCTTCTTTTCCCTTTTACTTTTTTTTCTCATTTTCTTTTCCCCTCCTTTTCTTTTTTCCTCTCTTTATCCTCCCCTCTCTTTTCCCCTCTCTTTTCCCCTCTCTTTTCCCCTCTCTTTTCCCCTCTCTTTTCCCCTCTCTTTTCCCCTCTCTTTTCCCCTCTCTTTTCCCCTCTCTTTTCCCCTCTCTTTTCCCCTCTCTTTTCCCCTCTCTTTTCCCCTCTCTTTTCCCCTCTCTTTTCCCCTCTCTTTTCCCCTCTCTTTTCCCCTCTCTTTTCCCCTCTCTTTTCCCCTCTCTTCTCCCCTCTCTTCTCCCCTCTCTTCTCCCCTCTCTTCTCACACCTTCACTTTTCCCTCTTCTTTATCCTTCACTCTCTTCTCTCTTTCCACGTCTCACCCTCTCTTTTCGTACCCTTTTCTCCTTCTCCCGCTGCCCCATGCCATCCCCACTCCCTGTTCTGACCCCGCTTTGCGGTGTGGCAGCGCTCAGCAATGTGGGCAGCACATGGCCGGCAGCGTCCGCTCCCCAAACTGTTGCCGTTCCCATCGCATGGGAGGAGGGGGCAAATTTCCAACCGCTCGCTTCAGGCGGGCCGCAGCTCCCCTTTTTCCTATCAGATCCTCTGCCTGAACCCGGCCCAGTCGGGGTCTGCGCCCTCCAGACCCCTTTCCTGCAGCGCAGCCCCGCCAATCCCACCCCACTCGCGTGGCGGGCGCCCGGGGAGCTGCGGATGGTGATGTGGATACATTGGAACGTGCGCGGGAGCCGCCCTGCCCTTGGCTTCGTGCATCTTCCCCGGCCGCCGCCGCCATCCTCCCGTGTCCCCGCATCCCTCCGGCCCGCGGTGGCCGCTCTCAGCCCTGCTTGGGCAGCTCCGTCCCATCCTCAGCCCCACGGCACCAAAATAACCCTGGCATAGGCGGCGGCCGTGACGCGCTGCTGGCCGGGGCCGTGGCAGGAGGGTAACATTGTGCCCCGCTCAGCTGTCTGTCCCTGCTTAGGGACTTCCTCCCCTTCCCCCTGCTCACCTCTGTCCCCTCTCAGGGACCGGGCAGGAAATCAAGACGGAGCTGCCCAGATTAGCAGGGAAGCGGCAGCGGCATCACAGCCAAGGGCTGTGTGCGAGGGGGGGTCCGGCTGTTGGCACCCTGAAGTCGCCCCGGTGCTGCGCACCCATCGCGTCCCCATCATCCCACCGCAGGGGGTGATTTTCCCAAATTCTCAGGAGGCTTGCAGGTTGGACGTGCGGCAGCAACGTTTTCTCATCTCGCTGTGCAATCCCAGAGCCCGGTTGCGTCCCTTCATTGGGATCCTGACCCCCAGCACCGTGCAGCGTGGGGCAGGAGCTGATGGGGAGCAGCGGGGTGCAACGTGGTGAGCTCACCCTGCTGCCCTCTCCCCTCAGCTGTGCCCCAGTGCCACGTTTTGCTCTGATGTGTCCCTGCAGGGCTGTGATTTCTGAGGCCGTGCACCTGGCTCTGATTTGGGGACATCAGTACTGTGGGGGCAGCGGTGCTCCCCACGCCAGGTGCCCCCCTCGTGACCGGGGACACATGGCTCCACCATGGTGCAGTGCCACGATAAGCAGCGTGGCCACGTGGCCTTTCCTTGTGGCTTTGTGTGCCCGTGAGGCCGTCCCCACGGCGCAGTGGGGCCGTGAACCACGGCCTGCTTGGGCACGTGGCTGCCCTGAGCACCTGGAGGTGCCGTGGAAACCGATTTGGAGCAGGGGTGACTCCGTTCCTGGGATTTTGGGGATGGCAGCGCGGTGCAGCCGGCGCCTCGCCCCTCCACCAGTAGCTGCGGCAAACTGGTTTACTGGTTTCCAGCCGGGAGCTCAGATCAGCTGCCAAAGCATCAGAGCCGCTCGCCGGGAATGGCGGGGGGGGTTGGGGGGGGGGGGGGGGGGGGAGTGAGGGAAGGTTGCAACACACTTTCAATTCTCCCATCTGCTGAGCATTGTTTGGGAAAAACAATGGGGCCGTTCTTTAAGTGCAACCTTGGGGAGCGCCTGGCTTTCCCCGCGCTGTGCCCGCCGTGCCGGGACCTCGCAGCTTCTGCCCTCCCTAATTTTAAATAGATAAAAATAGATCCTGATTATTTTTTTTTCCTTATATGCGATTTATGGACAGGAGCGCTCGTTAGGGCAGGATGAGGCCCTCAGCTCTGCGGCATCACCTTGAACTTGGGCTGCGCACCATAAATTTGCCGCCGTGCTGCCCGGCCGTAATTCTCCCTCCTTTCTCCTCCTCCAGGAGCCCAAAGTGTGCAGAGCCGCGAGGAACAAAGCCTGATGTGAGCAGGGAATCGCTCCGTGCGTTGCCTTTTCCCTCCCTGCGCTGCCCAGCGAGGATGCTCTCATCCTCCACCTCAGAGCTTTTTCTCCCTGCACCCTGGCCGCATTCCCTCGGTTCCCTTTGGTGCAGCCCTGGTGTGATTCCGCAGTGGCAAAGGAGCACCCCTGGGTGCCCAGTGCTGTGAATTAAATGGATGCCCACCCCTCTGTGCCATTTAGCATTGATGCGTGGCTTGTGCACCTGGGCACAAAGCGGAGCACAATGTCCCCTGCCTGGATGGTGGTGGTGGCACAGCCCAGGGTGGCACTGAGCACGGTGTGCCCAGCTTGCTCGCTGT